CCTTTGCCTACCTGGGAAAACCAACTGCGTTGGAAAGAGGGAGTATTCAAATGCAAAGGAACAGGAGCTACTCTCTAGGACTCAGTTATTCATTCTGAGGTGAAGGCGCTGGGGCAAGGGATGGGAGAGACGCAACGGCAGAAACTTGGTAAGTGGTAGAATTTTCACGTCCGGGAAGGGAAACCAGAAGAGCCGAGCCAGCCAAAAGGAGGCAAAGCTTTGCCAGTAGCAAAGGAAGCAGAGAGGTCTAGGAAGAAGGGAGGGGTCCAAAATGACAGTGTTTGGAATGAACAGAATGGGCCACCAATGGAGGGTAAAAAGATAACTTTTGAGAGCATCATTGAAATCCACTGACAAAAGTGAAGGCCAGGTAAAGACAGATAAAAGGAGCCAGCGGTGAGGACGAGGGGCTCCCATGCGGGCAGCGACCACTGTCCAGCCTTTCAGCCTGTGCAGCAGTGGCTCGGGGGAGGTGTATTTTTCAAGGATGGGGAGACTTGGACACTTCTGTGGACTGAAGGAGAGAGCGCTAGTCAGGCTAGATAGGCTACAAAGGAAGCTAAGAGAAGAAGGACTCAAGTTCCCAGGGGAGGTCTCTCTGTCTGTCTGTCTCTCTTTTTGGTGTGACTGACCCACCTTCTCAGTAAAATTTAAGAGGCAATAATTCAGTCGTGGTTGGCAAACGTTTCCCTAAAAGGCCAGATAGTAAATATTTTGGGCTTTGTGGATGAAAGGCAAAACTGAAGAGATATTCATATTTATATGCCATTTTACATGCAAAAAAGTTATAGTTTCCAGGCCATAACCAACACAGGAAGTGGTTGTAGCATGCCCATCCAATTTAAACTGCAGACCTGGGACCTTCAACGTCAGGAGAACTTTGGAATTTTTCCCCCCTGGGAATGAGTATTTGAAGACTTCAGGTCAAATCACATAAAATCAAATTACAAGTAAAGAAAAAGATGCTAATCCCAAGACCAGGGCAGAAGCCTTTTGCGGGAAGCCCTGCTTGGCAAAGTAAAATACCCACTGCTCGTTGCAGGGCAGGCATTTAAGCCTGCTCTGTGCTCTTTGCCTACGGAAGTCAGATCCCCTTCTGGTCCCCTTGGCATCCGTCTCGTCTCCCCTGGGGCTGAATGGAGCTGCCTCCTTGCCTGTGGTTATTTGAGAAAGGCAGGAAAATCAGTTAAAGGAAAATGACACACAAAAGTGAAAAACTCCAGTAACCCTCTAGGTGGCTTTAATTTTATTTACTCTCAATCACAGAAGTAATATTACCTTGAACTACAATTACACAAGCACCGTTGTATCCCGTTATAAAAACGCAAGTGGGGATGATGCCAGCAACCCCACCACGGCCTCCCGGACCCCGAGTCCCAGCGCAGCCAGCAGCGCAGCTCGGTGTGGCGACAAAACTGAGTTCGTTCTAAGAATTTATATGCATGCGCGGACTTACAGAAATGATGGCTTCTTCCCATTCTGCAAAAATGTTGTGCGATTTGTAATTTGTAAAACAAGACAACTGGGCGATGATTTAATCTCGGTACATGGATCTTATTCTTCTAAATTGCTGCATAGGACCGTAGTGTGTATTTCTGTGATTTATTTCTCCTCCTACTTAGCCATGTCTAATTTTTCACCACTGCAAACGATGCTCCCTGAAGTCTGACACACCGTCCTGTCCATCCCCCCAGGGGCAGTGCGTGAGATAGACGGCCCACTTCCCACGATCCCCATTGACAAGTTGTACTTATTTTTGTTTTCTATATAACCAAAGTTCTTTCAAGTTATGGTTAGCGTGTTTTACATCCTCTTATTTACTTATCATTGTGTATAGTGAATGTTGCCTGTAAAATTTTGTCTTTTTGGTCCTGGTCGGGTGGCTCAGTTTGTTGGAGCATCCTCAATGCACCAAAAGGTCGCAGGTTCAATCCTCTGGTTGGGGTGTGTATGGAAGGCAAACAATCTATGTTTCTCTCTCACATTGATGTTTCTCCTCTCTCCCTTCCTCTATGAAAAAGCAATGAAAAAATACCCTCAGGAGAGAATAAAAAAAAATTTTTTCTTTCAGACTTTCAGTCCCTTTAATAAGGTGTTCGGAGAAGAGGGTAGCCCGGCAGGCAGGGGGTAGAGAAGGCGGTGCTTCTTGAGCCCCACTGGGCACCCAGTCAGTCCTCATCCTCTGGCAGCTGGACCTTGCTGGGGTCAAAACCGTTGGATTCCATGACAGCAAGGCTGTTGGCCTCTCAGTACTTCAAAAGCCTTTCGGCTTCCCGGCAGGCCCATTCATGCATCCTGTAGTCAGGCAGATAAGCCACAAAGGTGCTGCCAAAGACCAGGATGATAGAGAAGCCAAAGAAGACGACCCGCATGTTCCAGGAACTCACAACAGGGTCCTGGTCATAGCCAGTGGGAGTCGGGATTCTTCGCACACAGGTTCTCGTCCCCAGGATCTGGGTCCTCCTGCCAGTGCGGGGTCGGTTCCGGAGCCCACTTTCCCGCCACCGCGGGCGGAGCAATCACGGCCCTGGCGGAGCTGGATTCCCAGCGAAGCCGGGCAGCTAGGTGCCCTTGTGTCGCCGCTGCTGCCGGAAGGTGGCCCAGGGAACACACCTAACAGTCGGGGCGCCAAGACTGGCTGTTCTGCAGGCTCCGCGGGGCAGAGCGAAGTGCGACTGTGCACAGCTGCCGTCTGCCAAGTCCTTGTCACTCGGCTCACACCATACAAAATAGGTCCTAGGTCGGTCCAGAGTTTTTCAGGTGAGTTAAGGCGCTGAGCAGCTCTCTTTCCTCCCTCTGTTCCGGCGGCACTGGTGCAGCTATTTCCTGGTCCTCTAGGTCAGGCTATGGGAGTTCCACCTGAGCCTTTTTTTGTCTTTTTCGAGTTTGTAGAAATTTCCTTTGTGGCAAAATTCTAATGACTGTCCTTTTGCATTTGAAAAGAAACAAGTTCTTCCTCCATTTATCAAACTGAATCCTGCTATCCAAGTCCTTTCTACCTGTTCTTGCTTTTCCCTGCTCCACGGACTTGTGGATGCCTAAGTCGATACCTCTGGGGATGGCTTTGTCAATGTTTTTCAGTGTATTTCTATTTGTTTTGCTCCACGTAGCTCCGTTATGTTGTCAGGGATAAAAACTTCATGATGATTGGACTTTCTTGGTAAATTCTGCCTGTTTTGTTACATCTTCTTTTTGTTCTTTATTTTTGCCCTTAATTCCGTTTTGTTTGATATCAACACAGCTATTCCTGCTTTCTTTTTTGTGGTACTTGAATGATCTTTATCTCAACTTTGTGCTGATTTTTTCTCTTTTTTTTAAGGTTTTCTAAATTTAGGTGGCTAGGATTTAAATTTTCCTTTGTCCTGTCTTAACATTTTTTTTTTTAATTTTTATTTTTTAGAGTGAGAGGAAAGGGGGGAGAAAGTGAGACAGAGAAACATGAGTTGGTTCTCTCTCCACCTTGACTGGGGACCACAACTACACCCCAGGCACATGCCCCCAACCTGGAATCAAACCTGTGACGTTTTACTGATCTACATCAGTCAGGGCTTTCTTTTATTTTTAATAGGCGATTCTGACCCATTTATATGTGTAAGTACTATGTTTGGTTACATGCTTACCTTATTATTTTCAACTTACTTCTTAAAAAGACCCCTGAACTTTTGTAACATTAGGTATTTTCCTTTATACTGTAGCGATCCACACAAACGCAAATCAGACAGCTGGTGGCCGCCCACTGCGATTTTTATCATGCTTTGTCATTCTTCCTCCCTCAGCATAGCTTCTAGGTAACACAAAGGAAATGAGTTTTTGTTTTGTATTTCCCCAGTTCCCTCTGCAGTAGTGCTTTGCTCACCTCTCTGTGGCCCCCTGTCCACCTCTTCCCCTGTTCTTTCTCCCAGAGCACATGCGCTCCCAAACCTATTTGTCCAGCAGGCCAAATTTGTCTCAGCTGGCTTCTCTGGTCAGAAAGATCTGAAACTCGACCCTGGAGAATCGTTCGCTAATGAAGGGCTTGTGGGCGGCAGCATTTCCGCGTCACTTCAGCGGCAGGCCCCGGGAGATTACCAGACCTTAAACACCCACCAGCCACGCTGCCCGAGTTTGAATCCCATTTCTGTCCCAACAAGCATCTTGTTTAACATCTCCTGCCTCAGTCTCCCTGCCTGTAAAATGGGCTAATAAGAACACCGACTACATAGGGTGGTTGTGAGTAACTCGTGTAGAGAAAATGGAATAATAGCTGGCACATGAGAAGAGCTCAAGAGATGTCAGCACTTACTGTTATCACTCTAATGGCTCAAAAGAAACACTTTTGCACAGGTTGGCCTCGGCCGTTTTCTACTCAGTCTTTGTGTGAGGATGCCCTAATACCAGAAAAAGGACACCTGAGGGGCATACATATTTCCAGAAGGATCTGGTTTTATCTCTGCACAGCAGCCTGGTGCCCATAGCAACTTGGACCTTTTTAGACACAGTGACTCTTTGTCACATGCCACTGACCATAAAAGAAAAAAGGGACCGAAACATAGATTTCTAAAATAGTATACAAAATAACGGGGAACAGATAGGCTGGAACCTCCTATGGCACTAGACTGTAGTGCGTCACTGAGTGAAAGACGCAACCATAGAAGATTTCCCAAAATAATACTATAAAACAGTGGTCCCCAACCTTTTTGGCACCAGGGACCGGTTTCATGGAAGACCATTTTCCCATGGACCAGGGGTGAAGTCGGGGGGGGGGGGGAGGGGGCGGGACGCTGAGGGATGGTTTCGGAAGGAGTCAAGTGCACTGCATTCACGCTTACCCCCCACTGTGCGGCCCTCTTCCTCACAGGCCCAGACTGGCCCAGAGGTTGGGGACCCCTGGCATAAAGCACAGGCATGAGTATCAGCTGGATTCAATGTGCGCTGTGAAGATGTGCTCAGAAAAGGTGACTTCTCCACTAAAGAGCTGCTTATTTTGCTTTAGGGAAAAAAAAAGCATCCTCTGAGAAAAATTTCTTTAGCATCAATAATTTAAACTTGATCTTTATTATAAAACCTCCTCTCTGAAAACAAACAAGATTGGCTTACATGAGAGGCAAACCATCGGCACGAATATACAAAGATGTTGTGTCTATCTTGCAGGAAGTTTAAATTATTTTCTTACTTTATCTGTGTGTATAACAAACAGTTTTGCTTAACAGATAGCAAGTCTCCAGTTAACTTAGCACTTTATTTTTCATTCTCCATAGAATTCTGATTTTGTAATAATGAATCCAGTCTGACATATACCATTGAAACACGTCTTTCACTTCACAAAAGAGCACCAAAAAATACATCAGCAAGGATATAAGTAGTGCATTTAAAAAATAAATCATAACCTTAAAACCAACTGATCTCACAAAATAACCTTCACATATGACATAGCAGCTACAACTGAAGAAAGCCATGGTCTTTGGCAGCTGATACATATACGTAAGCACTGACATTGGCCAACCATAACACTTCTGTAATGTTAATTCTTTATCAGTTAAACCTAAAATAAATCAATAATAGGACTGAAATACACAACAAGGATGACCTCTCAAACTTGCTGAACAGAGACAACATTAAAGGCTAGGAAGAACACTGAACTGGGAGCCAGCATTTGGATTCTTGCCTTGTCCCTGTCCCTGGATAGATGGCCTCAGGCAAGTATCCTGTGCTGGGAATCCTTCATTCCAAAATGGGAGAGTTGGCTGGATGGTTCTCTACAGTCTTTCTAGGTTACCTTTCTTTGACACTGATTCATTTTCACGCTGTAAAATGAGATCACTAACAACAATGACTTGGCAGCTGGGCTGAGTCCAGCACCACCCCATCACATTCGCAAGGCAAGAGGTACCTTGGTGCTTCTGTTCAAGTCTCTGCCTTCTGAGCCTGGTGACAGCCTGAACCTCAAGTTAACCAGCAATACTGAACTCCTATCTCAATTGTATTTATGCAATTCTGCATATTTAATTATGATTTGCAGTAGAGAAATTAATCCAATTCAATCAACATGACTGTACAAAACAAAATTACTTTGAAAATCTCAGGTTTTCTTAATAAACACTGTATTTTCATTTAAGCACTAAAATGCTTCCCATTCAACAATGATTATCAGCCTCTAAACATATTCCAACATCTCGTATCCACGGCCACTCTGAGGAAATATACAACTCTCAACTTCCTACTCTCCACTGCCTCCCGAGGGGAACTCAGGATCTATACCTGGGAGCCCCTCTCACCTGGGAATCCCCAATATGAAGAAATGGCACCAGTTAGATATTTTCTTGGCCTTTGCCTTTCTATAATTGGCATTGCAAAGCAATACATTTATTTTTGCTTTTCGAGATATAAAATTATTTTTATATGTTTTTATATTACTGAATATGCTTTTTCAAACTCTACAGCCCCCCGCTACCCCTCATTCCTTATGAGATTTTGATGTAGTTCTTTGTGGAGACAAGACAGGTCCCTCTTAAGAATCACTGAACCAACCAAAACTTAACTTCTGAAGTATTAGTTCTGATAAAGCCCAATAATTGCACTGGAGGAAACAGTATTCGATTTATCACAGAGAAAAATTTTATTCCTGAAAAATAGTGCATGAGAATGAATATTATAATATTAAACATATTCTGATTATAAATGAAATTATTTGAGCTTTACACTTTAAAACTAATGCAGTAATCACTTCTCGGCCTTTTGGCTAAGATCAAGTGTAAAACTAATGCAGAGAATTGTTTTTAAAATGATCTGCTGAAACCATCATGAAATACCTCTTTTACAAAGGTTACCATTACAAATGCTATGCTAAATAATGTTTCTTTCATTTATGACTTAGATTTATACCCTTATTTTCCATCCATTCTCAGGCATTTAGAACTAGAATTTTTAGATTTTTCTAAGGAAAATTTTTATCAGTTTCTACCTAGTGTAGTAGCTTAAAACTGAATCTATTTGTCCTTAGAACTGCCAAGTGTAACAAGTATTTCAAATGCCACAAAATAAGTATTTAATAGGAATAATAAAAGAGCCATCCAAGTCTCCAAATATTGATAGAGGGAAACTTGTGTATACCCTGGAGCTAGAAAAATAGCTATAGAACTTAACAGAAAAGTTCTCAAGATGACATGGGAAATTCTTCCCAAATTTTAAAAATGATTTCCTGTACCTAAGTTAGGCAGACCTGAAAGATAATACAGAAAAGGTCTCCCCCAAGACTCATGACTGAGGACTTACATAAATTACTTCAACGCTCTGGTGGTTAACTCCCCCCGAAAGGCACAAGAGTTTAGAACTTGACACCAGTAGCCCCGGGGGCGGGGGTGGGGGGGGCGCGCCCGCGGCCATCAGTACTGCGCATCAATGAGCTTCGCGATGGTGTTCAGCTGGATATTTGAAGCGCCTTCATATATTGTACCTGAAACACAAGGGGACAGTTAGGAGTGGACTCACAGTTACGCGTGGGTACGAGAAATAGCTCTGCAAATGCTACCTCTGCATTTGCTGCAAAACTGTTACTAGTAGCGTCACTCAATGTCCCCTGAATGTGCTATCCGACAGAGTAATTTTGCCTAAGAGATGACAATTTTCCACTTGGAAATTAAATTCTGATTCCAGACTCAGTGTGAAACAGGAGCAGGCGGCTTCCGACCCAGCCGGGTCTCCACCTCCCTCCCTGTGCGCAGAGCATCCGAGCGCTCAGGCTGGCGGGCCCTTGGCTTTGGAAATTAAAATTTAATTTCCAAACAAATTAAACAAATCCAAAATATTTACATTTTTAGCAAAAGAAAAATTATACAGATTTTGTTGTGGTTTGACTAAAGGCCTGTTGGGGCACTTAAAAAGGCAATTCACCGTTTTGAAAAATATAAATCCATTGTTTTGAAGGGAGAGGTGGGGTAAAAACTGAGCCACAGGAAAGGAGAAGCGACGTGCAAACACTGCAGAGATGACAACGGCCTCTGCTTCTGTGCCCAACCAATAATGCCAACCAAGTACAACAGCAGAGGCGAGCAAAACAAAAACGAAATGGAGAAAATCTATTTACCGATCTTTGCATCTCGGAAGTATTTTTCCACAGGGTAATCTTTGGAATAGCCTATGCCTCCCATCCAGTCGATACATTTACTCGTGGTCATTCCTGCGATCTACCAAAAACAAGCAGCCAGTCACCTGCTGAAACCACACAACTTAGGCATCACGAACACTCGGGGGCGGGGGGGCAACGAGGTGGGTCGGTAAGGCGGCCATGACCTGGTAGTCTGGCCCTCAAACGGGAGGGTGGGCAAGAGATTAAGTGAGATGAATATGTGAAGAAGTTAAAGGCGCACGTGAAGCTGTGGAATGAGGAAAGCAAACTGCCGAGGCTGCGAAGTAGCAGCCCGGTGGATTGGCGGAGCTCTCTGGCCTACACCCGTGCTCAGTACAGAAGGCGTGTGTACGACCAGGGCACTGGGAACACGGGCCATCTCTCCCTGGTGTTCCCACTGCACACACGCTTCCATGGCGCTCATGTGCCCCAACACAGCCCATGCAAGTGATGGGACTCAGGCAAGGCCCACCTGGGGACTGATGGTGGATGGGTCTTCTTCCTGAGTTGGACAACATGGTTTCCATTTAAGGTCCTGTGAGAACTCTGAGGCCTCACAGAATTAAAGCTCCTTCCTACAGAAGTTTTATCTTTTTTTTGCTATTCTGTTGTAGGAACTGTAAAGTCCATGTTATTTCACTTGAAAAACAAACAAATGCTCAACCAATATTCCTAAGTGAAGGGGTTAGGAAATACATACCCAAATTTCCGTTTTTGTTTTTCCTTACCTCTGATGTGTAGTATTTGGCCATAGCTGCTTCCTTTATGAACGGCCTTCCGGCCTCGACAAGGCGAGCGGCGTTGTACGTCAGCAGCCTCGCGGCCTCCAGCTGGGTGGCCACGTGAGACACTTGGTGCTGGAGGCCCTGGGATGCAGAGGCCCGAGTTAGAGGTCTACGGTTTCTGCAGCCACAGCTTATCCCAAAGAGCCTGCCTGGGCGCGGGCCTCTAGCAGGCTCAAAATATGCACCACAGGAAATTCACATTCATTCTATAAAAGTACTTTAAAATCCGCAATCTGAACTGAAGTACACTATATGTACCGTTTAAGAATTGTTCAAAGTTCATGTAATCCTTTATAGCTGTCAAGAGTTCAAAAGATAAATAATCAAAAAATTAGATTTAAAAATTTGATTCATAGTTAATAATTATTTTCAACCCTATGACCCAGATTGAGGTTAAATGAAATTTCAGCAAAGCAAAAATTTGAATATATTTTTCAATTTGCTTGAATTAACAAAATTTTGCCTCTGCACACAGTCCCTCCCCTCAAGGTGCCTGTCGTCTAGAGAAAAAATATGATTGTAGGCAAAGCAAAAAACACTCTAATGAGTAAAGCAGTTAGGAAAAAACTCTATTGACTTTGATCAAAGTTTCACATAGATACATAAAATTAATAATGTTGCTTTTCATGATCAAATTTCTAAGATTTTTTTAATGACCCATCCTAGGCATCTTTAGAAATGTCATGATTATACCTATTAGTGCGCCTGGCCCCCGGGCCCTCGTCCCTCCCCCGTGCAGACAAAAACACTTTGCTGCAATCTATGTGGTGGCTGGCTCTAAGCAAGCACTTGAGTATAATACAGAGAAAATTAGACCAGAAGCCGTGCCAAAAACCCCACAATTCCAACACGTTACCAGCGAGCTGGCCCAGGACAGTCTCCATGAGCTGCGCAGACCCTGCCAGGCCCGGTCTGCTCATTCCTTCCAGGCCTTGAACTGACTGCACACACCCACAGCTTAGAATCCCTCCATGTGTGCGACCTGTGTGTACTTGCGTGATGCCGATCGTTCTCATAAACCTGAAGATGACCAGCAGGACAGAGTGGGTGGTGCAATAAGCTGGACTAGGGAACTCAGAGCTGCTTAGGTGGGTTTTGCAAACATGCACAGTAATTCTGGATTATTAGGCGATGTGCTTGCATAAGCCTGGTAAGCTGCCGCTCCAGTCTTCCAGTCTGGTGAGACAGGCTGAGGCTAGGAACGTCGGTGGACAGAAGACTGCCATTGCCACCAGCTAAACCCCCGATGCCTGGGGGACTTGGAGAAGCCACGCCATTGGGCCAGGCCAGAATTAGCCAACGTGCTTGACTAAGAGCATCTCGTTTGCACTCACAGCAGCCCAGTGTGCCTTCTAAAAGGTGGATGCGTCAGAGTGGAGCCTTCTGAGGCTCACTGCAGGACTCCGGCCTGACTGAGAGCCACCGTTACACCACCTGCACACATGTTAAACTCAGGCAATGTGGCAACACTTTACACATCAACCTGATTCCAAATCACTCTAGAGGGCAGGTAGTATTATTTTTATCTTACAGATGAGGCAGTCAGGGCTTAGAGAAGTGACGCAACTTGTCCAAGGCCTAAAGCTAGTAGAACAAAGAAAGAGGATTTGAACCCAGCAAGTCTGACTGCAGACCCCGTGTGCTGGAACTTACGAAGCTGTGAGGAGACAGCGCCAAAGCCCTCCCCAAGGTATCCCGGAGGAGGTGGAGCCGGGCCTCGAGGACTACCGCTCTGCCCTTGGAGGCCAACGCGCCCACAAGCACAGGCCCGGAGACCCGGTCCTCCCTCCCTGCACGGCCCTGTGACACCGCTCTTCACCAACAGGAGGACGGGGTAGTCCAGTACAGTAAAAAGGCACTAATAACCACATACCTGGAAATCATATAATCTTTTGCCAAACTGTACCCTTTCTTTAATATATGGAATAGTGTAATCAAAACATCCTTGAGCCACTCCCAGCATCTGTTAAAAAAAAAAAGTCAGAATTTCTTATTTTGTTGTAAGTTTATGCTTTTAATTTTTTAGTTATAAATTCCTCTTGCAGGCAAACCGAAGAGTTTGGGGAGGAACAACTAGAGGTCCCAAGGTGATGAGATGTATGGTAATAACCTTTTTTCACTGCTTTGGAGAACTCCCATTTCCAGTAATTGGGAGAAAATGAGTGATTTCACATGAAAATGAGCACATTTAATTTCAACATGCAGGTAGATCTCCCGGCACGGCATGTTCCCATAACCAGGTTACTTTTCAGGAAGCCCCTCCTCTTGGCCTTGATTCTCCTGGCAATAAAGCAAGCCACAGACACCCTGCTAAGGACCGGCTTCGGAGGCCGTCCGGTGGCCCCCTGTGGTCCTTCCAGAAGTCGAATGTGGAAGGTCACTTCTTAACCTTCTATCTCTCTGTCCATTTGAGCAGGATCATCATAAGAGCTTCGGTTGAAAGAGCATGAGAACATACAAGTGCAGTGTTTCCCAAACCTGGCTGCAATCAGAACCGCTTGAGGGTATTTCATTGCAAAACACCCATGTGGGGGGTCTATCGACTGAGTCCAAACCCGGGGAGTGAAGGGGGTGTAGCCTAAGCCCCAGCATTTTAGAAACTCTTTAGGGATTTAATGCAGAACAAGAGCTGAGGACAGCTCATAGAGAGCATGTGGAAAAAACATTAATCTATATATGTGCAGAACAAACTGGGACGTGCTGACAGGTTTAGCTGAATTTTCTCATTGTTAACCAATCTCCGTATCCATTGAACAATGCAAGTTTAGAACTGCTTTCTAAATTTCAACATTAGGTACCCATTAAATCACTATCTAATTATGTCAAACTATGTAGGTTTCAGAAAAAGGGAAGAAGAATCAATAGTTAGAGCTTTTGGGGGAAATGCCCACAAACATCAATATTTCATTAGTATTTGTTCACATTTTCTTTAGCATTCTATTTTGAACTTTCTGGAGAATAGAATGTCATGCTAAAAATTAAAGAACAAACACAAACAAACAAAACTCCAAAAGAACAAATTCAAGTGAGGCTGGCTCACTGTACTGTTTGCTGTGAGAGAAGATGATGTCATTATACCCTTATAATTAAAGTTTATAGTCTGTTAATAATATCCATCATTGACATGGAAATTAAAACGATCCGTTGTCAATCGAAATAGGCTTTTCCGCCCCTGTAAAATGTTCTCACTGTAAATACTGAAGAACTAAATCCTCTGCGATCACAGAGATCTGATGGTGCAAGCCTTCAGTTCACTGTTACATGTGCCTCTTTCGCGAAAAGGCACCCACAGGATCAACCAAGAAATAACTGCCACCTGACCTTAACTTTTAATTAGGTTATCAGGTAACTTGCAGCAATTAGGCTCAAGCCCAGGCTGCGTATTTTACTAGCAGAACATCTGTATTATTCATGTCTGGAAACGAGATCTAATGCTGCAGTTTTAATGCCGTATTTTATTAAGTTAAATCGCAGAAAAACTTTAAAAAGAACAACTGAGCCCATTCTCTTCAGTAACATCTAGTTTTGTGGGAAAGTACGCATTATAATCTAAGAATGTTTTATTAGCAAATTAACAGCAGCGAAAAAAATCTAGAGTGATACTATAACATTTAACTAATCCAACAGTTAATGTATATGTAACATCTTCAAAATCTAAAAGCTCCTCAGTTTTTGGATTTTGGATGCTCACTGATTAAAAGTAAAGAAATATATTCTACAAAACTGACATAATTTATACTAAAACCACAGATTTTATTCATTTTCTTAATCTAGAAAATAATTGGTATCACAATGGAAATAGGCAATACGCCTTACAAAGGGCAAATACGGTAAAAATTGGTATAGTTCTCATCTTACATATCTATTTAATTGTGGCTACTTTATTTTCAAGTGTCACAAAAATTGCTTGATTTTCACATGAAAAACCCTAATCAACAAATATTTCATTATCTATAGATTAGAGATTTGTACTACACAGTACAATATTATTTATTTTTAGTTTAAAAAATTTTCTTCCAGAATGAATTTTATGCTTTGAAAAGTTGATTTTTTAAAAAATTGAATTTATTGGCTTGACACTGGTTAATAAAACGATACAGGTTTAAAGCACACAATTCTCTAACACATCATCTGTATTTTGTATCGTGTGTTCCCCACCCCAAGCCAGGCCTCTCTCCATCATCGTTTATCCGCCCTTTGCCTTGCCCTGCATCCGTACCTCCCTTTCCCTCTGGTAATGACCATATTGTTGACTGTGAGTTTGTCTTTTTTTTTTTTTTTTTGCTTAGTCCCTTCACCTTTTTCACCCAGCCGCCACACCTCACCTCCCACCCCCCAGCTATGAGTCTGTTGAAAAGTTGATGTTTAAAAAAAATTCCGTATTTATGCCCTGGCCAGGTGGTTCCGTTGGCTGGCACATCGTCCCGCACAGCACAAGGCTGCGGTTTCGATTCCTAGGCAGGGCACGTGCCGAGGCTGTGGCTTTGGGCGCGCCCGGGCACTAACTGATCAACGGTTCTCTCACATCAACGTTTCTTTCTCTCTCTCTCCTTCCCTCTCTCTCTAAAAATCAATAGAAACATATCCTCAGGTGAGGATTAAAAAAACAAAAACATATTTATGACACATTTTAGAAGTTATCAATCCAGGTATTGGATAACATTTTAATGTTCTCAAAGTAGAAAAACTGTTACCACTAAGCCATTGTTTGGTTCTCTGGACATTATATAATCAACCAAAGAGGAATTTTAAAGAAATCACAGAAGCCCTTCTTTCACCTCACGGAAGGAACGGGCGCCATCTTGTGTTCGCAGGCTTCCAATACTCCCTGGTTTTACTGTCCACTGCATTTTCCCCCTTCCCCTATTTTAATCCACCCATCTGTGGAAGAGTCAAGGTGAGTGGTGAAATGTGACTAACCTGGGCAGCAATTCCTATTCTGCCTTCATTGAGGCTCCCTATGGCATACTTATAGCCATGTCCAATTTGCCCCAGGATATTAGCTTCTGGAACCTGGAAAAAAAATGCAGTTGTTTCTTAATTTAATTCCATATAATTAATTTTGATTTTATATTATTAAATGCACATATACTCCAAATTTGTATGCTATTACGCCAGCATCATATTGCAGCTCCATGGAAGCCATGGACCACGTCTCTGCGTCCTGCGGGGGGCTGCTTCCTGCCCAGCTCTTGGAGAGAAGCAGCCACCGCCGCCGCCTTCGGAGCCTGGCAGGCGGCTGCCACAGGGATGAACGCTCTAGAGAAAGGGAATCCTCTACGGCTCATCGATGACACAGATGAGTAACATTTTCCCTGGTTTTTATCTGCATGGTATAGTGTAAGACATATAAGGAATTACAGGAAATATGTAAATACTTGGCATCACGGGTGGTAATCTTTTCTTCTGTTGACACTAATATCCTCATAAAAATTAACTGATGTGGGTGTTCGTGCTTGTGTACACAGAGAGGAGGGGGATGGAGAGAAGACTATAATGTTTACTCATAATTTTTAAAAATCTACACTACACACCATAAAAAACACACTTAGTTCACGATATGGGCAGTTAAGGGAAAGAGTGGGCAGAAAAGGGAAAGCCGGAAGACGGCAGGCAGCTGGAGAAGCGGGGAGCCTCACAGACGCTGCAAAGACGGGCGGCGCTCACACACTCAGCTGCGCTGCGGATCACGTTGAGCAGAAGCGCAGAGAACGCCTCGCCCCTCGTCCACCTCTGCGGGGCTCTAAAGCGACAGCATTGGGGCCGTCTCTTCCCCATCTTTTAACAGGCTCCACGCACAACTGTGGGCGCTGCCTGGTGGTTTCCACTCTCCCTGAGCAAGAGCCCCATCTACTGGCCTCTGGTGTACTCACACCAGGCTTCCTTCCCTGAAGCCCAGTTTGGTTTACAAGGATCAAATTTATCATAACTGGGGTTAATTCTTGGTGCTGGCTCTTGAGGCCAAGCTGCTGGGCAACAAGGCTTCCACTCCTGGCCTGAACTCTTGTGAAAAGTAGATTTAGTCATTCCCTCACCTAAGAACGATGTTCAAGAGTCTTACAATATCCTCCCCATTGCATGCTTAACGTTTGGACACCTTGCTCGCACTTCTACGGTTCCATGCACACCTTATTTCACATCAGCCGAAATGTTACTGGAAATTCTCAGATACCCACCTTGACATTTTCAAATGTTAATGGGCAGGTGGAAGAAGCTCTGACTCCAAGTTTGTTTTCTGCTTTCCCTATATGAAAGCCTTCAGTATCCCGATGAACTATGAAGCAGGTAATTCCTTTATACCCCTAAGGAGAAGATTTACACTGTTACTATCACTTGGATTGTAAGATCCCTTGTTTCCAAAGAGTTCAAAGTAAACAGAAAACTAAAAATCAACTTTAGCAATAAATACTCATGGACTTAGAACTGCCACACGTGTCCTGTGAAACGAATGACCTGATGACATTAGGTTCAAAATCAAGAACGTTACCATTTCCTTTGCTTTTTCAGAAACCATTAGGGATGTTAAAGTTACTAAGTTACACTACAGTATTATATGATCCTGAGAACTCCATGTTTTATATATAATTTTATTAAGCACTTTTGAAGTTTTAAACTTTAGTTCAATTAAATGTTACATTAAAGAAAAAGAAAAGTTAAAATGTATTTATTTTATTCTATGTCTATTTTCCAACTGAATAAAATATTCTTAAAACTAAATGTACTAGATAGGTACTTAAAGTTTTCATGACTAAATAGAAAACTTGAAATTCCACAAAATTGAAGATGATCATCCTCTATGACATATTAGGATTAGGTAACAAAGGGTTCTCCGTGCACAATAATTACATCAACAGCATTTAGGAAGCCAGTAAGTGAGAGAAGGAAAAGATGGCAATTGCCTAACATTTTCAGCACTAAGGAGAATGAAGAATTTAAGACTAAGTCCCAAAAAGGAAATGGAAGTAGGAAACAAATGTAAAGAGAACAGATTGGGGGGGCGGGGAGGGGATGGAATTTTGTTTCAAACTTGCCTGGGAAGGGTCCACATTCGCCATCACCAGGAAGATCTCGGCATGCTCGGCATTGCTGATCCACATCTTGGAGCCGTTGATAACATAAAAATCTCCCTTTTTATCTGCTCTGGTCTTCAAAGCAAACGAATCGCTACCTGCACCAGCCTCTGAAAGGCAGAAACTTCCTACCTACACATGGAAGGAAAAATATCCCCAATTAATAACTGTGTTTATACTCTATATAACAAATACTCACTTATGGCAAAATAAACATTTGTAAATCAAATGTGCAGGTACTTTTAAAACCTGTGCTTATCAAAACAATAATGGTACTCTGACAGCATTATTTTCCAAAACACCCTACTTGTCTAAGACAGGTTTGAAGACCTATGTACATGTATTCAATGTTAAATTTAATTAAATTTGTTCTAATAATTACAGCTGAAAGACATCTCAATGTAAATGAAACCACCAATGAAGGTATTAGAAAATATAATTGAGACAAAAATAATAATTTTATTGTCTCACAATTATTCTCAAAATTTCCAAGTGGCACAGGAGAGGAAGAGTCTGTTTTTCTAGTGCCATCAATGCACTGAGTATTACGTGATTAGTCAATGGTGCGGTGCGGTGCTGTGGTCTGGAACAGTCAAGTCAACGTTACGGCGACTTTTCTCCTGAAAATATTAAACATTAGAAAGATCGAATCCATTTCAACAACGCAACTCACTTTTTCTGTAGTTAGCTGGGTCAAATAGGTGGCCTTCTGGTCTTCTGTCCCATGTTTTCTCAACAGCCCGTTGACCACCGTGTTCTGCACATCACACAACAAAGACACCGACGCATCGACTTTGGCCAATTCCTCCACTGCCAGGACGCAGGAGGTGAAGGAAGCCCCTGTCCCTCCGTACCTGGTGTCCATGTGGATGCCCATCAGCTACAGGAAAACATGGAGGCGGAGGTTAAGGAAGCGATTTTTATGGGGCGAAATATCCTGCCAGAGCAAGTTAAAACATAAACTGTAACCACGTAAGTTCTTAATTTTAAAATTTGTATACATATTTTATATACAAATAAAAGAGAAACTACATAATTTGAAAAGGATGAAATAATGAAACGCTACGATTATTTGTTTCCATTTGTGACGTAAACAATGAAAATGAGGGGTCAGGTGCTTTGAAAGACAATGGAATGGAATAATGAGAAACTATCTGATATAAATATATTCTGATGGCCTTTCCTGCGAAGAATTGGTGTTGCCTGCTTAAGAACTGCGGGTGCTGTTTTGGTTTGGTTTTTCAACATGGCCCCTTTCTGCTGATTTCATTGTAATGAGGAAACTAAAGAAAGGAGCCTCCTCCTCAGTGGGAATGTCTAGTCTCATTGGGCATATTCTCTTCTAGGTAGGCCCTTCCACCTGCACTCTTCCATTATTAAATGGCCACTCCTCTTCAGGCCACCGTAGCAAATCCAGATGGTTAGCAGAACCACACTAGACAAGGCCCAGGTGCCCACTAACATGGGCAAACGCTGGCCAAGGCTTTCCAGTAACCGCTGGGCCGTTCAATAACTACTCCTAAGTCTGGACCACGGAACTCCCACAGCGTGGACCATGCAACTCCCACAGCGAGGCCCATTCAACTCCCACAGCGTGGACCATGCAACTCCCACAGCGAGGCCCATGCAACTCCCACAGCGTGGACCACGGAACTCCCACAGCGTGGACCATGAACGTCCACAGCGTGGACCACCAAACTCCCACAGCGTGGACCACGAATGTCCACAGCACTCCAGTTTTGTGCCATCACTTCAGGAAGAGAACGTGTGTCCATGTAATTCAAGATCCAAACCTGTTAACGGGTAACGGGTTCATCCTCTTTCCTGTTCTCTCCAGATACTTTTCAATCCCATCATCCTTAGTCTGGATGGTGTTTTAAGCTGGTGGGAAACTGAGCCCGTGTGAGGAGAGAACCGGAAATGACATGCCATGAGGAAGAAGTGGGGGACTCAGGTGTGATTATATCACCACCGGCTGTCGGAGACACTGCTTCTCCAAAAAAAGCCACCGGTTCCTACCACAGTGGACATACTGTTTTTTGTCAGCTATTGTTGCAGGAGGCCACACAGCGACAACAGAGCGAGGAGTCAGGTGAAGCCGAGAGAAGCTGGTGGAGGAGGTGCAGCCAAGCAGACCCCCGCAAGGATGCCTCGTCTAAGCAAGAACGGACTGCAGGGCAGCTCGCTGCCGTGGGTGACCGAGAATGAGCCCCATGGGAGAGGGGCGCTGAAACTGGCGCTAAGGCCTCTCAGAAGCCCCCAGGGTCCACGCACCGTGGAGGCGAAGCCTGCCTGAGGCGTGGGCTCTCAGGGCTGTGCGACCCCCACCAGGTTCCACTTTCCCAAGAGTTTCATCGCTAAAAGTTAAGTTGGAAAAATCATTCCTATTCATGGTATAAAAAAGCTGGTTTCCTTAAAATGAGAATAAAATGATTTAGTTAAGTGGAAAAGGCTATTTTTCAAACAGTATAACAGACAAGATTTAAGTCAATGGCTCTGAATAGGAGCTATTAGTTCTGAGATATCCTTAGTATTTAAAATAAAAAAATAGGGCCCCAGCTGGTGTGGCTCAGTGGACTGAGCGCTGGCCTGTGACCCAAAGGGTCGCCGGTTTGATTCCCAGTCAGGGCACATGCTTGGGTTGCGGGCCAGGTCCCCAGTAGGGGGCACACACGAGGCAACCACGCTTTGACATTTCTCACGTTCTCGTTTTCCCTTTCTAAAAATAAATAAATAAATCTTTAAAAAAATAAAAAATAAAAAATAGGCATCACTTCACACCTGTGGAGAAGGGCGAGCTGACGAGCGCCGTAGTTTTCAAAATGTTCTCTCCGGAGCCCCGCGCAGGTGGCCCCTTCCTCCCCCCGCAGCCGGAGCAGTTACCCTCGCGTCCGTTTCAGACGTTGTGCTGCTGTTCCTGAGCTATGCAACTTGAAAAGCTGGACATCAGCCGCCCCGGGTCATGTGGAATTCAGAAATGGCCTCTGCTTCAAGTCCACCACATACCTAGGGATTCAGGCGGAATATTCGCTACGCTCTGAAATTTTCGTCGGCAGGGGTCCTAGGCTCGGCATTACTGAGCTGAAGGGGTCCGTGGTGGCGGCTGTTGTGCGGGAGGTTCAGCTGTACCCTGACCTCTACCCCACCAGAAGCCAAGGGCATGCCCAGTTGTGACAACCTACAGTGCCTCCAGACACTGTCTAATGCCTCTTGGGGAAAAATAGCTCCTGGACAAGTACCAGTGGTCTAAAGGAATCACTCTCTCTTGCTTCTAACCTTTTACTTAAAAAGCACAGTACTTCTAATTTAAAATTTTAATTCAATGAAAAAAAACAAAACTTTAAGATCTTAATAGGAAAGAGAACACAGATACTTTTGACTAGGAAATGAAGAGTTCATTATGCTATCATAACAGTTCCTAAATTTAAAAGTATGGATACACTTTAACCCTCAAAAGTATTTACAAAAGTTTGAAATCGGAAGAACTATGGATTATGTACCCCTTGTTGAAACAATCCTTGTATCACTGATTTCTCCATTTTTGAATTTTCATCCATTCTTGAAACCAAAGGAGCGACCTGCTCCTGGGCAAATTTTCTAACTGCAGGGAAAAAAAAAATACTGGTAAGTTTTTATTTTATTAGTATGACATGCATTAATTTAAAAAACAGTTTAAGAATTAATGTCAAAAAACTCCATTCACATACAGAGATGAACAGATCCGCCAATCGGGGCCCCGTATCATGTGACTTCACACCGCGGACCCCACCCATGACCAGAGGGGTAAGGAGGGGCCACCGAGAGGCGCGCTCACCGCTGCTCTGTATCAGCACCTCCTCGTCCTTAAACATCTGCAGGGGTGCGTAGGGTAGTCCGTTGCTTGTTGCGCTGCAGACAGCCTCTGGCTGGGAAGATCTTAAGGCGCGAGGAGGAATCTTCCAAGAACGCAGGCAAGTTGGGAAGTTTTTTCTTACCTATAAAAACCGTCCCCAGTGAAGAAAGAAAACACACACAGTAAGCCAAGTGTCAGAACATCAATTTCTCTGGAACAGCTTTGTGACTCACTCTTACGCCATGTGTCACCAAAGAGAGAAGCTTACCGTGGCCCACTTTAAAACACGCTGTCCTGTGAAGAGGAACAAAACTGGCTTGCAACCTAACACGGAGCTCCTTCGTCCCACGTGTGCTGTTCCAAATAAACCCATTTCCCAGATAATTAACTTTTACCTTCAGGGAAACAGAACTCTTTGGGTGGAACTCACCCTTAGACCCAGGCTAGCTTTGTTTCTCTGGCTTCTCATTAGCAAGAGACAGCGCAGCATGATAAGGCTTAGGAAAATCAGCTCCGGAGTCTGCAAGAACTCGTTTCGAACCCTAACGTCTGGTATTAATACCAAATAACTACGTGCTCTCGGTAAGTGAGTTTTAACCTCCGGTAAAATCTCTCAGTCTTAGTTTCTTCCCTGTGAAATGGGGAGAATTTGTGAGGATTAGTGAGAAAATCCATATAAAGGGCTTAGCGCAGGGCCTGCCACTGAGGCAGCGCTCTTGTGCTGTTTCTACGGTGACTTCGCTGACAATTCACTCAGCAGGAGCAGCCCGGCGGTCACCTCGTCCCACTGCAAGGCGTGGAAGCGTCCCCGGTCAGTGTCCCTAACCCTTCCACTTGCCGACTCCACTCAACAGCGGGCTTGGCTACAGTTTTATTCAAAAAAGAGACCATCCAATTTTAAATGCTTGTTATACCTTTCCAATTTTCTTTGGTAGAATTTTAGTACAGGGGAAACAAATAAGGAATTAGTCAATTCCAGAACCTAAAAACATGCTAAGTGAAAGAAGCCAGCCACAAAGGAGCACATATTATACAATTCTACTTATAGGAAAATCCAGAACCGAGAAATCCAGAGACAGAAGGAAGGGAGCAGTGGTCGCCTGGGGCCGGGGCGGGAGGGGCGGGAGGGGCGGGAGCGGCGAGGGGGGCCTGGCAAAGGGCACAGGGTCTCTGAGGCAGCGATTTTGAACCTTTTCGCCCTCGCGGCGCATAAACTCCTCACTGCTAAAATTCCATGGCACACCAAAAAAACATACTTTTTGCCAATCTGACAAAAAAATAGTTCTAATTTTGATACATTCACATCGGGTGGATATTGTTGTGTTGGACAATCTAAGGGAGAAGAGGTGAGTGTCCCTGACTAGCCAAGTGTTGCACGTTTTAAAAATTCTTGCGGCGCACTGCTTGGAAATTGCTGTTCTGGATGATTAAATGTTCCAAAATTGAATTATGGTGACAGCCGCACAACTCTGTTAAGTTTATGGAAAATCATTGTATTATACATTTAAAAAGACGAAATTTTGTGGTATGTAAATTATTCCTCAATAAAGCTGCACAAAGATTAGTGCTTTGCTTTTATTCAACAAAAATTTAAAGAGGATGCCTTTGCCCCTGGCAAATGCCTGTGAGCATGTGGCATGTACAAAGGGGAAACAGAACATTCCATATCTTCTGAGAAGTACATGATCTAGACAAGGCAGCGAGATATATTTCCTGGAAGAGTTGCCAAGAAGTGGTGTGGCTTAGTTGGTTGGACAACTGCCCACAAAGCCAAAGGTCACCAGTTTGATCCCTAGTCAGGGCACATGCCTGGGTTATGGCCTGGTCCTAGGGCCCGTGCAAGATGTAACCAACAGATGTGGATGTCTCTCTCCCTTTTTCCCTCCCTTCCCTCTCTCTCTAAAAATAAATAAAATCTTAAAGAAAAAGAAACAAAGCAAATGCAAGATTAAATGTATTTATCACTGCATTATATTTTCTCAAGAGGTTGGATTATATCAAATACACTGGAAAGCTTCCATGATCTAACGAGAGAAAAGAAACGAGTCATCACTTTTGAAACCACTGGCTATCTTCCTTACACATCTGTCAGTCTCTGCAGTATGTGCCTGGGAACATGCGTGTTCTGCTCTGGATCTAACAGGGAAAAAGAAGCACTGGCCAGACAGAAGAAAAATGTGTATGTCTCCATTTTCTACTTACTTTTGTTTTGTTTTGAGAATCTGGAGACAAAGTTTAGGGCAAAGTTGCATGGGAGGTTTTTTTTCCTTGTTAAAATTGGGTCATGAGCACTTCGGACTGGAAAGGAGGGGAAGGGTCAGGAGAAGAGAGGTAAGAAGTGGCAGTGTGACAGGACTCGGGAGGCAAGGAGTGTCGCTCAGGAGGGAGCTCCGCAGCAGCAGGCACAGAGGACGGAGACCGGGAGCAGGAATGGAGTCCCGGAGGGGGAGGAGAAGTGGGGTGCACGCCTGCCCAGTGGCTGGGGGCGGGCTCTCGGCTCCCCCCCCCACACGAATGAATGGGCGAGCCAGCTATCTTCCCCGCAATGCTCATGAAACTTGCCTAAAACATGTGAAAAACTGCAATCCATGGCCCCTGTTTCGTATTTCTAGGGGAGGTTATTTACTTTACTAAACCCACTACAGAGTTCTTTGCGCCTCTCCGTCAACCGACCTTTATCCTCCTCTATCTTTAACAGAAAGCCCACTGCTGAGAAACTTAAGCAGCCAGTGCGCTGCCGCTGCTGCTGTAGTGACCTCCTTACCCTCCGTGCTGCTACTGAGCAAGCACATGACTGTTTAACATGTAGCGATGGATTTCAGAGTCACGAGATGAGCCAACAGAGGCAAATGTACTTTAAAAACTACACGATGGAATAGAGATGCAGGGTGGGGCTGTTAAAAGTGTTCACCAGAAAATACAGTGGCCATGTGCTGCGTGAATGGAATCCCCTTAACCAAAACCAAGGGACCGAAGGAACTCCCTATACTTTTTGGCAGGAAAGAAAAAATTCCCTTCAACATGACAGCCTTTGACAGCGAAACATCTCCTTTCCTTGCCTTTCCCCACGCAGCTCGAGGCTGTGATGACGATTTCCGACTGTCCCCTGCCCTTCAGGGCTGACCTCAGCCTCTGCAGCTTTGGTGTCCCCTCCATCAAAATGATTTTCCACAGTTGTAACCCACTGCACCACATCATCGCATTTTTTTGTGGAGAACAGCAATCGCTCCTCGAATGGGGTAATGGTTCTTTGTGCCCTGCCGAGTACTCGTCGGAGCTGGAGTCTGCTTCCTGCTCAGCCCACCGGGGTTCTGTCCCACTAAGAAGTACCAGTGATCGAGCCCGGGGTCTGTGGGCTCCAATGGACAGAACAGAAGTTCATGAACTTGGCTGGGGTTAACACTGTATCTTTATTTCACTAACCTCTGACTGAAATGTAGCATTTTCCAGGCAACGAGTTACAGTACTGTTAGGAGTTACCTGTGACTCTGTCACCAAAAGAAATTACAGATATTTTACTATCACATAACAGTTGGTCCAAATATCTTGAAATACTCTTGGTGCTCATTATTACTTCAAAATTATACATTCAAACTGCTGTCAGATTTCATTTAAGAAGCACATATTACTATATTACAATTAAAAATATTTTTATAACTTTTATTACAATTTATGTCCTTTGTAATTCTATGTATTTATGCATTTTAAAACATTTTCAGAAAAGGTCTATAAACTTTACTATATTGCTGTATACCACCGGCTGAAACTGTAGTTGAAACTGATGTGCCACAAGAATTTCTAACACATGATACCTGACTATTTAGTCAGGGGCACTGAACCCTCTTCCCTTAGACTGTCAAATTTAAAAAATGACAACAGCCCACACAAGAACAGCCATCTGGTGTCAACGCATCAAAATTATAACTATTTTTCTGTCAGATCAGCAAAACATCTATTTTGGGGAGCGCTGCAGAATTTGAGTAGTCAGTTAATGTGCGCCACGAGATGAAAAAGGCTGGAACCCTTGGCTGTGCGCCTTTCGCCCACGGCACAAAACCCGGCTGAGATCCCAACTGCGATCCTGACTGCTGAGAGCCCTGGTAAATCATTTGCTAGACTCATTAAGTGTAGCCGCCCTATTAGTCCTAACGTGCTCCTAGGCGTCCCCGCGTAGTGAAGTCTGGTTCCAAACCTTCTTAAAGCGCTCAAACCCAGGAGCTCGGACGGCGCACGAAAGGCAGAGGAAGACACGGGACAGAAGTTGTGCTAACCTACAAAGAGCGCCGCCTAGAATTTCCTGAAGCGCACGCTTTGACCGGACACCAGAAGGCTTACGTTTAAGCCCCTGCTGTCCTTAGCTCCTACCACAGGTGCGCTCCAGACTCCTAGCCCTGCAGGGGGGTGTGTGGGGTGTGGCTTTGATTCCATCCCAGCCCCACAGCTCTCTCATTGCTAACTTGGGACAGCGAGAAACCCCACTCTCAGGATCCAGGCTGAATTCACGCACTCACCCCCCACACGCCCCACTGCTTACACCTCCCACCCCTCCGAGACGCATCGACGATTACAGTGCAGCGTCCGGGTACGGTTCCTTTTGTCTTTTGCCTACAGTGCCCAGTGTTGGGGTAGAAAAATAATTTTCCTTCTAACCTTTCAGCTCTTCTGGCTGGTCTAATAATCACGTTGCTGAGACAGATTGTCAGGAGAAAAACTTATGAGAGTTTAGCAACATGTGCACATGTCCTGTGTACTTGGTAAGAGACTCAGGAACACGGAGCAACTCGCCAAAATGGCAGAACCCATCATCTTAAATACCAAAAGAAAGACGTTGGGGGTGACGAGCCAGTTACGTGAGGTGACCAGGGAAAGCACCGTACACAAGGGTCGGGTGGTTAGGCAGATTTAAATTGTCCACGAGAAACATCCAAACCTGTAAGAATTTTTATTATAAGTCCATTTGAGCTAAACTGACAATTGTCTGGAAGCAATGGACTGAGAAAATGCTCCATAACAGGGCAGTTTTACCACTTATTTTATACATCGGAATCAAAGAGGAGGATGTAAGTAGGTTACACGGAGTCCACTGGGGATAGATTAGGGAGGCAGGAGAAAGGAGACGGGTGGGGAATCTCTGGGGTTGGA